ATGTATGTATGTATGTATGTAAATATGTATGTATATATATATATATATATATATATATATTCATACACACACACACACACATACAAAGACACATGGTCTCTTTACTGGAGTCTCAGCTTGGCACGCAGTGAACAATACAAGTAATAGGGTTTCTAACCAGCATTACTGGCTTCTGCCAGTCAGCTGGCTATATGGACTCATCACGCCCCGCCTTCCTGTTCCCAGTTGCTCCAGTAAATACTGTTTAGACCTGGCTCCAGCAAGTACTCTTCGAACCTGGATGGCTTCTGAACCAACCGCAGCTGGCTTGCCTTCCTGGCTCTTCTCTCAGTGTGAGTCCAATTACCCAGCACCCTTCTGTACATGCTATGCACCAACCCCCTCCTGCGTGTATGTGTGGCAACTCAACAACGGCACGTTTTGGCAACTTTGAATGGCACTCTGTCTAGGACATTGACACTTCAAGGACCAGAAAGCCAATTCATCATATGTCTACTCAGAAATAAGATTCTCTGAGTTCAATAAAACCTATTCTTAGAAAACTTTCCTTTGCTTTCCTTTGCTTTCCTTTCCTTCCAACCATTCCTCTGGCTGCTCAAAGTAAGATACCTATTTTCCCTATTTTTCCAAAGGTAGGAGTGAGTGGCTCAAAGTCAGCCAATCAATTTCCCCAGCATCCCCCTCATTTTGCCATGGCGATTTTTCTCCCTTACATCTATCTTACATCTAACTACATCGAATGTTCTGTACAGCTGACATCTTCAATTACAAAAAGATCATTAAGATAAAATGTCATGGAGAACTCTGAGCAAAAAGAAAAAAAAATTATGCCAGGAAGTGGCATAGAAAATGTGCAGAATTCCAAATCAGCACTGATGTATGAAAATACTTCTAGTAGTAGCCATCTAATTAACCCAAAGTTTTCAGTGTAGTTGTTACAGGTCAGCTGTTGATTAAATCCATTTCAAAGCAGCATTGATCCATGGCAAATTTACTGTAGAACAGTCCACTGCCCAAATCTGTAACCAGATAAATAAAAAATCCCCCCAGACTTCAGCGATGGATTTGAATAATGTGCTAAATATCTAGAGAAGGTGGCAAATTAGAAACCAAAGCAAATGGGAGAAATGCTTTCAAAAGGGCTGGAAATATGCCTACAAAATCAACTAAATGTATCTTCCAGGTAGAGTGATGCCCATTAGGAGTTATGGGGCAAGGCAGAAATGCAGCCAAGCCAACTGAGGACAGGTGCCTGCGCTTTTAGTCTCTGTACAGAAGGAAAAACAAATGAGAAAGGTATGACTTCTTTGGGTCCTAAGCCTTTTCATGCCACTTTTACAGAATCAGGAATAGTGCTGAACTATCACTTTCATACCTAATCTTGAAGTTATCTAGAAGTTAAAACTTGCAGGTAAACTACGCATGGCAGTAATGCTGATGTTCTTTTTGAACAGTTGAGGGTTTTAGCGAAGACAATCCTGTACTAGGGCGGTATGATAATTAAGATGTTGGGCTTGTCAGTTGGAAAGGTGGCGGCCCATGTTTGGGATCCAAGCTCCATGCGACAGGGTGAGCTACCGCCCTCTCTCCAGCTCCTGCCCACTTAGCAGTTTGAAAGCATGCAGATCAGAGGTGGGTTCCTACTGATACGGTCCGGTTCAGCCGAAAAGGTAGTAACTCCAGTGGACACGTGACCATATCAGTTATCCTTGGCGGTGCCATCTTGGTTTTCTGTTCTGCACATGCGCAGAACAGTCTTCATTGAAAAAAATATTTTTTTCCTTTTTTAATGTTGTGCGCATGCGGAGACTGTTTTAAGTGCAAATGCTCCACCCATCTGCCCCATTCAGTCACTTCTCCTGGGTGGCTTCCCTGCCTAAGCTGCCACGTGGTGTTTGCCCTGCGCCCCAAATGAGCTGCCTCCTCCTCCTGTCTAAAGATGTCTCTCTATCTCCCCCACGGAGCTTACTAGCCTAAGGTGACCAGAGGTCCCAATTTCGGCAGGACAGTCACGATTTATAACAATTTGTCCCATGTCCCGGGGCATTTTTAAAAAGTCCCGATTTTCTGGCTTCATGTTGAAAGCCCAGTGGATTTGNTTCCCCCATGAGTGGGGAGGGAATGGGGATTTTGCAGTATCCTTTTCCTGCCATGCCCACCAAGCCACGCCTAGAGAACCGGTAGTAAAAAAAAATGAATTTCACTACTGACTAGTCATGATTAATCAGAATTCAGAAAAAGGTTTTTAAGAGGTGCAAAATGCAGTTTCTAGAATTTCCAGGATTGTTTATTTAATGGCATGCGTTCTGACCTTTCCCAATGAATTGTGAAAAATGTTAGTGAAGTTCTACCAAATCCCATACATTTTTTAAAGGAAAATCTATTGTCAAAATTGTGTTCTCCAACCAAGTACAAAAAGGGCTTTCTATTATTTCAAAACATGATTCAGCCAAGCATTGCTATACAAATGAAAGAAGATTTCAAGGCCTCTTAAAAAGAACACAACAGAAAATGGTTGTAGATGAGCTTTGGAAGAGACAGATATTTTTTAAAATCAATTTGACAGTTAAATGAAATAGTCAAAGTGCTTAGGATTTATACTTCCAGCAATGGTGAAAGGACAAATAATTATATAAGTATGTCACTCAGCAATACCAAACTAGCGAGATGAATGCTGATAGCATTTTGAACTGATTATGCTTCATTAGATAATGAATAGGCTAGAGAACTGAACATAGAGGAAATGGTGCGAGGAATGCTGATTGTTGTATAGCAACTATTCTTCAGCCTTGGAGTTTTTCTACCTCTATTCCAAATTTATAATATAACAATTTTTTAGTGAGAATCTTTGGAAACAAGACTTAGAAGATCAGTAATAGATCCCACCCTCTGGAATAGCTTCTCTCCTGAGGTGAGGATAGCTCCCATGTTTCTGGTCTCTTGTAAGAGCCTTAAGACTTGGCTCTGCCAGATGGCTTGAGGACCCAAAGGGGGAGCTTCAGTGGTGGGATTCAAATAATTTAACAACTGGTTCTCTGCCCTAATGGCCAGCTGGGTAGGCAGGGCTCGGTGGTCATGTGACTGGGTGGGCGTGGCCAGCTCAACACTCAGGTTGATAGGCTCTTCGTCTTAGCTGTTACACTATAATAAGGGTTAACGGGAGAGGAAGTTTCTGTAAGCAGGGCAATAAAGATTAGGCTAGAAACAACACCAGAATGTTTCCTTCCTTCCTGCCTTCGTTACAGGATTAGCCCTGTAAAGTGGAAAGAAGCAAAAGGAGATTTCTTCCAACAACTGGTTCTCCCACCTGCTTAGAAAGTTAACAACCAGTTCTCCCGAATGGGTGCAAACTGGCTGAATCCCACCACTGGGGAGCTTCATACTGGAAATGGTTGACTAATTAAAATTCAACTCCACCTGCCCCCCCCCCCCCGGTGTGTCCAACTCCCTTTTTTGACATCTTTTGTTTATGGTTTTTAAAAACCTGTTAACGTTTTTCTCTGCTGTGTTTTTTATGATGGATTGATTTTAATGTTTTTCAATGTTTTTAATGTTGTCACCAAGAGTCTTTGGATACAAGATGGGTGGCAAATAATTTTAAACAAACAAACAAACAAACAACAGTTTTCTTTAAAAATGCTAAATTGGCTATGTTTAGCAGGTGATATTCTAATGAATTTATATATTTTTTATTCGTCCTCCTGCACCATGGTGGTGGTGGGTGTTTTCGTCCTCCCCAGGCTATGGAGGCTTTCCCCGAGCCTCTGGGTGTGTATGTGAAAACAGGCCTGTTTCTGGACTTCCGGAATTTCCGAGAGGCCCTCTCGGAGCTTCTGAGGGGGCCCTGCACTTACCTGGCATCCAAAACAGGCCACGTGGAGACTCCTGGGAGGGGCGGAGTGGGGTGAGGGGCCAGCCAGTCCTTATAACTACCAGTTCGGTGAACCAGATGTAAAATTAGCATCCATTTCGCCCTAACTTGTCCGAATCGGCTGAATCCCACCCCTGCATGTAATTGAGGCTGATTGCAGTTGTGCAGCAGCAATGAAGCAGCCACAGCTTTGCCAAATGTCATAGGTCCTAGATTTTGGTTGCATCCATTTAAGGTAAATTGATAACATTGTCCTATGATCCGCTGCTTTTCCCAACTGAAGGTTACAAGCAATGGAACAGACATGAGAGTCTAAATAATACATAGACATCAACAGGATAATTCTCTCCCATTTAGACTTTTTTGATTAAAACATGTAGCAATATTCCCTCCATTTTAATTATAGAGTTAAACACTTTTAAGTAGATATAAACTCTCACAACTCACTTGACCTCAACCTACCTCAAATTCCAAATAATGGTCTTTCAACTTGTAGTCTTCAATCTCCTTGCCCTTAAGTTTCTTATCCGGTGGGTAGGAACGATGTTCGGCAAGTTCAGTAGAGACCTGCTTCAGTTTGCTCTCATGGGATTTTAGCTGGTCATCCTGCAGAGGTAAATTACATGCTTTAGAATGTATCTCTAGTGTTGTGGTTGCGAACCAATGGCACACGTGCCCAAAGTGGCATGCGAAGCCAAGTTGCCCAGCATGCTCACCCTTGCCTGTTTTCTTCCGGGTTTCTGGCATGCATGCACACGTGATGATCAGCTGTCCACAACAGCTGAATCGCAGTGCTGAAAATTGGTATGTGCATGTGCGCCATCCAGCTGAGTGTTGGGTGTACATGTGTGCCAGAACCTGGAAGTTTGGCTTTTTCGGAGCATGATTCCTTCACGCATGCAGCAGTGCCAAAAACTGGCCTGTGCATCCATGCTGACCAGCTGTTCTTAGGCGTGTATGCGCACCAGAACCAGAAAGTTTGGCTTTTTCAGGAGGGCGGCCCCAAAGATCGGGGACGCATCTGAACAATGTTTCCACGCAACCTTTTCAGCACCCGGTGCTGAAAAGGTTTGCTATCACTGCTCTAGTGCATTTAATAAAATGATTTTAAAACTCATTTCTATTGCTTTTAGGAGTGTTCAGTTCCTAAATCTGAAACTCACATATTCCTAGTTCCTAAACCAGCAATTCAAACATTACATGGATTTTATTTTCTAAACAAAATTGGGAAAGATCCATCCAACATGTGACCTAGATCTGTACAGGTAACCCTCAACTTACAACCAGTTGCTTAGTGGCTGTTCACATATACACGAGACTTCCTTAGTGGTAGTTGCAACCTAGATCCAAAGTTTGAACAGTCCCCCCTCCCCCACCTGAATGATTGACTGCACTTCGGACACTCAGCATTCAGGCTGCGTTTACAGCCATTTAGTGTCCCACAGCCATATGATCATGTTTTATGATGGTTTTCAACAAAATCGACCCATAGCAAGCCATTGGTTAGCTTAATGACCACGGAGTTTAACAAACCCCCACAAAAAGATTATAAAATCAGGTCAATGCATGACCTGAATTATGACCATCACAAGTTGTGAACAGGATGGACAGACTACCTAATAGTCATAACTCAAGGACTACCTGTACCTAACTTGCAGTCATATCATGGGTCAAAGAAGAATTCACTCTATGGGCTGGTGCTATTATTATTTCCCATTCTGCCAGCCTAGAAAGAACAGCTATCTACCCAGCTGACTTGAAAATCATGTAGCCAGCCTCCACACTACCTTTGGTGTCAGGACTAATGAATCAATTGCCCATATGCATACAATTATTTGAGAATGATTGCAAAGGAAAATAATACTGGAAGCCCTGTTTGTGCAAGCTGTAAGGAAAGGAGGAAACAAAAAAAAAACCCAATCACCTGAGATAATTTGGTGGTGGAGGCAGGTAAGAGAGGGCGGCTGAATTTCTTCTGGGATCCAATTGCAGCTGGAAACGGTGGGGCAGAAAAAACGGCTGCCACAGAATTGATCTTATTGATCCAGGACTCCATTTCTTCAGGGCTCCTGTGGAATAGACACAGATTAATCAGTGACTCTGGCTGGCCTTAGGCATAACACTTGTACATTCTCTTCAATATCTGCACTGGCATAATAAGAACGGCTTTCTTATTTAGGCAACTCATATATATTCTTGCATCAGAATAAGTTTCTCTTGCAATAATGCAGAGAAACTTGTTCCTGAGCATAAACCACATTTAGGAAAATTCCATTCATCTATGTTTCATCCCCATATTTTTCTTGTTTCCTTCCATCTTTTGTTCAATAATCTTTTTTCCTTGCATATGTATAATCTTTGTTTAGCAGCCACAACTGGGACCCGCAACTTGATTATTGAGCAAAGCAGCTGCAAAGAGAAACATCACAATTTTTTGACCTTACTTCAGCTTTCTTTTGCTTAAAGGTAAAGGTTTCCCTCACTCATCCGTGCTAGTTGTTCCCGACTCTAGGGGGCGGTGCTCATCTCCTTTTCAAGAGCCAACACTGTCCAAAGACGTCTCCATGGTCATGTGGCCAGCATGACTAAACGCTGAAGGCACGTGGAACATTGTTACCATCCTACCAAAGTGGTTTCTATTTTTCTACTTGCATTTTTAACATGCTTTCGAACTGCTAGGTTGGCAGAAGCTGGGACAAGTAATGGGAGCTCCGTTATGCAGTGCTAGGCATTCGAACTGCTGAACTGCCAACCTTCGGATCGACAAGCTCAGCGTCTTAGCCACTGAGCCACCATATCCCTTTTCCTTTGCTTTACAAAGGAAAGGTCATGGATGTGAGGATTGGCTGTTGAGTTAGTGCTGCAGCTGCAAATGATCACTAAACAAGGCAGTTGCTAAATGCAGACTACTTGTAATGAGTGCTTTTCTGTTAAGCTTCAAAAGACAGTAACAACCTTAACTTAAGACTGAGTCAACCAAGGAGGCAAGATGTCTGCAGGGTATGGTTAAAAAACATCAAGATGGTGACCATCACGGGCTGATCAAAACTCTGCCTGTTTTTCAATTCCTTAGGTAGAATTTTGATCACACCATCACAGCTGCCAATTTGACTTTTTTTAATCTTACCCTGCAGAGTATGGTGAGGGACCATGGCAAGCAGAATCTCTTCTGGAGTCATTCCTATAGTTTACTGAATGCCTCATTTGCCCAAACCTAGGCTTCTGATAGGATAGAATTAGAATTAGAATTAGAGGAGAGGAGAGGAGAGGGAAAAGGAAGGGAAGGGAAGAGAATTCTTTATTGGCCAAGTGTGATTGGACACACAAGGAATTTAATTAATGACTTCAAAGTCCATTTATGAGGGGTCCTTACTACTGGTTCTGTGGGCATGGCTTGGTGGGCATGGCAGGGGAAGGATACTGTAAAATCTCCATTCCCTCCCCACTCCAGGGGAAGGTTATTGCAAAATCTCCATCCCCTCCCGATCAGCTGGGACTCGGGAGGCAGAGAATAGATGGGGGCGGGGCTAATCAGAGGTTGTATTTATTGGTTCTTCCAACTACTCAAAATTTCCACTCCCGGTTCTCCAGAACTGGTTAGAACTTGCTGAATTTCACCCCTGGCCCACTCCCTAGTCTGCAAGAAAACAACCAAGCTCAGGGAGCTCCAAGGATCCCTCATTTCAACCCTGAACTACAAATATTCTCCAAAGTCCACTTAAGAGATCTAGGGACATTGCCACTCCCTTTCTTCTTTCCAAACATAAATAACCATTACGACAATTTGAATTTTATAATTACCCCAAATTTAATTTTAACCTTATTATTTACATTTCTAGTTTCCTTGCTAGTAAGGTGGATAAGGGTCTAGATCAGCCTTCTTCAAATATTTTGATGCATTTCAGCGATCTGCAAAACATACCCCTATAGCTTCTAAACTCTGGCTCTACACAATAAAAAAATTATCTGCATTGCAGCAATTACAAAAGTCATGTACATGTCTCTTTTGCAGCTTTTTTCCTCTAAAGTTTAAATGACTAAAAGGATTTTTTTTTTTAGATATTACTTAGAGCAGCATGTCCTGACCTTAACTTTGATTGTTAAGGTAGGCTTAAAAGCTGCATGTTACATATTACTACATATGCTAAAGTGTGCTTTTTCTTCCCCACTCCTGTCTACATTATAGTAGACCTGCAATACAGATTTAAGGCCGAGACAGCATTGCAACTACTAAGTAATTCTCCTACTTGGACAACTCGCCATGGCTAACTCACCGCAGGACAACACACCACGGGACAATTTAACAATTCAATTTAATTATTTAAAATAAATTAAAAATTATTGTAATTTTTGTCATTCATATTCCATTCTGACCCTCCTTTTGCATCCTTTAATTATTCTATTCCACCCTTTCTTTGATATTAGTATTAACTCTTATCCCACAACGAATTGTCCTGTTGGCTGTGGTGAGCTGCCTATGGCGAGTTAGCCATGGTGAATTGTCATAGACCCACCTAATTGGCAATGGAAATGTCTATTAAGCTGCACACAATTTTATAGGGGAAGAATGGACCACTAATAGCTTCAGAATTAACTTATGGAGCCCGCTCTCCTTTTGTTATAATTTATACTCCGTTTGAAAAAAAGAGAAGGGGAAAAAAGAACTTGAAACAAGTCTTTGGAGAGACCCTCCCAATGTTCCTAAGATTTATTTTTTCATGAACCACACCGTGCAAGCAACCAAACTGGAACCTACTGAGCTTGAAAAAGCAACACTCTCCAGTCAGCTGTCTTCAGTTTCAGGACATTTGGCTTCTTCTCGTAGTCGGTTGCCTTTGATGCTAGCGCATGGTGCACGCTGACGGCATTCTTAAGGTCGTCCTCTGATAAAGCCTTCTCTGGTTTGTATTCGTCCTGCAGAAATTAAAAGAGCAAATTTAATTTTTTGCGTGTGTTTTTTTTAATCCCTGGCTGCAATCAAATAGCTGGCAAGAAATCAAACTGCTTTGTAAACAACCACCAGAAGTGACAAAGGCAAAAGCATGTTGTTACAATCTTATATCTATTTACTGCAAATAAGGAATAAGTGAGAAAATAATTTGCTTATCTTACAATATGAAATTACCCCATTCACTCTTATTAAACATATCCAAAGTGGAAAGCTTAATATACCCACAGGAATAGAATGTATTCTTAGAAAAATACATTTTGCAGAGAAAAAAATGATTCAAAACATCAGTACATCTAAGTGATAGATATGTTAACCAAAGTTTACTCTTTCCTTTAAATTACAAATTAATATAGAAATCTGTTGAGCGAAGTTTCATGTATGCTATTTTATTAATTTATATCCTTCCTTTTGAATAGGAACTTAACATAGCATACATAGCAGAGATGGTTTTCAGCAGGTTCTGACCAGTTCTGGAGAACCGGTAATGAAATTTTTTTTATTATATTTTTTTTATTTTTGAATAAACAAAAACAGACAAAATACAACAAACATCACAAAAATATCTTCCATTACAAATTGTAAAGAGTGTGTCAATTGGTTACAAAGAGCTTTCGTGCATCCCTTCCACAGGTCATCACCTATAATTCATATCAAGTTATATGTTTTAAATAATATATATATATATGTATTTAGTGTCACAACCCCTGGTATGCCCAAATATGGGAGGAAGCTTACTGCTCCTTTTCGCTGTTTTGGGCCTCGCCAAAAGAGCCCTCCAAAAAAAAACCCAAATTTTTTTTTTAGGTTTGC